TGTTATCCCAATCCATACACACATCAATTGTGTAAAGCGCATTTGTACATCGTTTCTCAGCTGTAAATCTTTATAGGAGCAAAAAGCCTCATCTTTCTTCTGTGGAGTGGCAGGTAATTTTGAACTGCTGACCTTATAATTAGCAGCCCAACTTGTAACCCTCTCTACCACCAGGGTTGCTCACTACTCTCCCCTAATTCCTTTCATACCCAGAAGGGTTAGAACAAAGTAATAAGTTTATGTTCTCTGAAGGTACTTGTATTCATAAAAGACGTGCTACCAAAGCATTGTATCTATTATATTACTACATGGGAATATGTGGGAGGAGGGTGGAATAATACTCCAAAGAACAAAAGATTGATTTAAGTCATTGAGTCTATAATCAATAAGATATTAACAACAGATCATAAAAGTTTTCCAAAATAAAGAGTGTAACGTTACATCCAAATATCTTCACTTGCTACTTAAATGTACTTGATTTGCCTACTTTTATGCCTGAGTTATAATAAATTAATATGGCTCTTCCAGCTGTAATAATCCCTTGTGTGATATAATTCTGCATTTCATACATCTGTGGTTCCATTTTGAAGGGCATCTGCTATGAAACAGGAATGGAATGAGACTGAGTTCTGGCCTTAGTGGAGGGTGTGAACTGAACCACACTCTTTGTTTAATGTAATGGTTACTTTAGTTACTAATGCTTACAATGGATATAAGAAATTATATACTATAGCCAAGAGGAAAAAGAAAACTGTTTCTCAAGTGGCTTGGAAAAAAAGTTGGCTGATTAAGATTAGTATAATGTCAATGCCACTAGAAACATGTTCAAAGAGATCCCAGGTCATATGTGCATAAATAAGATACAGTCGGGGTGGAGAACAGATTATTACACTTAAGTGAAAGTTGATTGCATATGCACCTCCCAAAAAGCGAACTTTCTGGGCATGGGTCTGATAGGAAGGTGGGAGAAGATATTGATAGGATTTACCCATGAGTAATTGTGAACAGGATCCCCTGTAATGCCATCCTGCTGTGTATAAAATGAGTCCACTGAGAAGCAGAGGGTATGAGTTCATCACTGGCAAGAGCCAGGCATGGAGTATGTCCTCTGGTCCTAGCATCTGTCTTACTCGGGTCTGATTTCAAGATTTGGACTGAACTGCATCCACCACTATGGAATGCATTTCCTCCAACTTTCCTGGGTTCTGTGGGGCACTGCAGCAATTTGCAGAACCCAGAGACGTGAAGGAACGCACTCAAGGGAGAAGAGGTAAAACGGAGCAAATGATCTTGCAAGCGTTGATCTTTTGGGACCTTTCCAATATCCAACTCCTGGGGCTAATTTGGTATTAATTCATATTTGGTATTACTGCCTGAGTGACACTTCAGTCCATTCTTTCCAATTAACAAATTTTACATGTGAGATCAAGCAGACAATGTAAACAGCCTATTTGAGTACTAATATTTTGATAATAAATAATGACAGGAAGGACAAATAGGAAAACTAGGAATCAAATGAGCAGAATTTTGGAGTGGTCATTTGGCAGCTGACAACAAGCCTGTACATCAATTGGCTTCCCAACCAAGGAGATGCTTACTTCCTGGTATTACTGTTTTTATTACGCTAAGTCTGAAAAAAAATGTTCCTCTGACAAAAGAATTCTTGGTCATGTCTCCTGAATATTCAGTGATGAGACTAACTCTCATCAGGGTAATAACACACTATCTTTTAGACATTCTGAACTAATATTAGCTCTGAAATGTAGATTTACTGTGAGTTCTGAAATTAACTTTCTAAAAACTTTCTAAACAAAAACTTTCTAAATAGGACATCAACACTTCTCCCCAAGGGTTTCAACTTTCTAACAGAAGTTGTTGAACTAATGAAAGTTGTGAATGATGTAACTGAACATGGACTTTAAAGTCAGTCCTTAGATTTTAATGTTAGATTTTCCACCCTAAGAAAGATGATTATTTCAAGGTACCTTTTCTCTCAGCATCACGTCTAAAAAATATTCTCAGAGGGATGCTCTGAGAAATAAATGAGATGTGTAAGGTGCATGACCTAAACAGGCACCACCATCCCAAATATTATCACCCAAACGAGGTTGTCACAAGAAAGTAAATTTATATATCAAAGTGTAATGACAGAGCCTGGTCCATTATAAGTATCAAGTAAGTATTCATTTCCTTTCCCTTCAATTAGTCTTTATCTATAGTGGAGCATTTTTTTAATGGTCACATGAAGTCTGAGGGAGCTGAAAAATTCCATGGAAAAAAAGTAGATGAACGGCAATGTTACTTACATATTTCACATAGTCTTTCCATTGCTGCCACCACTGCATGGAGATGATGAACCAATTGTGGCCTGGTTGCAGACCATACCTGCTCTCTCGTTCTAGCCATCCTCTGTACATACAAAAGAAAGCCAATACATCAAAGAAGTTGTGTGAAGTATGTCAAAAACATAAGAAGACAAATAAGTTTGTTAGAGGTTACCTGGGGTTTGAGAGGAAAAATTGGGACTTATGAAATAACAGGTGAGTTTCTATTTATGGGAATAGAAAACCAGGAAAATGGATGGTGGTAACTGTTGTTCAGTGTTGTGTTTTTAAACAGCTACTCTGGAGCTTGGTTGTTTACTGGGTTATGCAGTCTTGCTAGCCCTAAGGTCAGTAGCACAAAAGCACCCTGCTCCACAGGAGAAAGATACGCTTTTTACCCCTGTAAAGATTTACAGTCTCGGAAACTTACAGGGGCAGTTCTACTTTGTTCTTCAGGGTCACTATAAGTTGGAATTGAATCAGTAACATTGAGTTTCTAAATTTTCTTGCCTAATAGTAATGAAACTGACTTGTTTTAAGTGTACAATGTCAATGATTTCAGGCAAATTTACAGATGGTGTGCTACCATCACAAAATCTAGTGTTACACCATTTCCATTATCCCACAAGAGATTTCTTTCATGTCACCACCTTCAGTCCCAGGAAACTATTACTCTTTTTGTCTTAGAAGACTGTGTCTCTATGAAATTTGCCTTTTTAAAACATTCCACATAAATGACACAACATGTGGTCTTTTAGATCTGGTTTCTTTCACTTAGCATAATCCATTCATGATGTAGTTAAGTCAGCAGTTTGTACTTGTACTTTTTAATTACTTCATTGTATGGTACCCAGCATTTTGTTTACTTATGCAAAAGTTGACCAACATTTGGACTGCTTCTATATTTTTAGCTCTTGTGAATATTAGTATGAACATTCATGTACAGGTTTTGTGTGCGTATGTTGATGTCTTCATGCCTTCTGAGTAGATTGCTAGAATGTGTGGTAAATTTCTATCACATGTGGTAGCTTATGTGCGGTTAAGATGTTGGAAGCTATGCCAGCAATACTTCAAACACAAGCAGGATCACCCATCCACGGTGGACAGGTTTCAGTAATGAGTGATTCCAGACCAAGATAAACTAGAAAGAAAGATCTGGTCATCTATTTCCAAAAAGAAGCCAATGAAAAATTTTAAAGAGTGCAATTTCTCAGGGAATTTGCTTCTTTGGTTTGGAGGTTTAAGGTCATAGTTTCATGGGACATCTCAGCTAACTGGCCTAATAACAAGTATAGTGCTTCTATTCCACCCCTACTTGGATAGTGCCAGGGACCATCTGCAAGCCACAATAATTCCTCTGCAGCTACCGAGAGTCAGCAGAGGATATGAAAGGCGTGGTTGATTGTCTCCATGAACAACTGCTTTCTCTGTCATGAAGAACAGGTTGGTGTTCAGCTATCATTCCTGACATCTGAAATCATTCTACAGAAGACTTCTGATCAAAATGGGGAAAATGTAGAACGGAAATTAAAGTTGTTTAGATTTTCTGAAGCTATAGCAGATAGATGAGCCCCTGAAGTCCTGAGATAATCTTTAAAACTTAAACAAAAAATATCTGAAGTCTTCTTAGAACCAAATAGCTTATCTTAAGTAGTAAGAAGTGTCTGCCTTACGTTTTATGCTCTTTTAAGAACTATCTATATGGAATTAACATGACAATTTGAAAAATTAGATAGGAACTCAGGGAGTGAGTTCATGCTAATAGGGAGGAAAAACTCCGAAAAGGAGGGTGTAATTTCTGTACAACATGAAGAACATAAGTAATGCCACTGAATTAAACATGCAGAAACTGTTTTGCTAAGTACATTCTCAACGATGACTAAAAATGCTAACATGGAGGAAAATATAAAATTTACTAAATAAGTTTCTTAGAGAATAAATCTATGAGAAATTTATAGCAAAATATTTTTAAATAAGCAAAATTATGGTGTAGGTAGCTTTTACTGACATATACAATCATCTTGGAATAAAAAGTGTCTCAGAAACCCACAGGGGATCACTGAATCAGCACTGACTCCGTGGCAGAGGTTGGGTTTTTTTTTGAGACTGAAAAAATAACCAGAAATAAAATATTTCAGAGTATCTCCAATTATATAAAAAGCTTTAAAATTTCATTATATGCCTGCATTTATGTGTGAATATATAAAAATGTTTTTTTAGCAGCTATTATCTGTATATATGGGTATTTTTTGAGATTAGGGATATTTTTTGCTTAACTCTTCTAGTTTTTCTACAATACACAAGAATTATTTTTTAGTAAGAGGTGCGATACCATTAGGGTAGGGGGAAGGTGCAGGGAGAAGGGGTAACCAATTGCAATGATCAATGTACACACCCCTCAGCCCCCGTAAGGAGGATTAACAAGAGAAACGTGGGTGAAGGGAGACAATGGATGGTGTACAATATGAAAGTTAAAATAACTTATATTATTAGGAGTTCAGAGTCGTGGTTGCAGTTGGTGTGGGCGCTTCTGGGGACCTTGGAGAGTCACAGAAATAGGACTGGGGCCTTGCTTCAGGGGGCCCGCCCCATGCTGCTGGACAATGACTTTGCCCTCCGAGTACGCCCTGCACACAAGGCGACAAGAGCGCCGGCTCTTCAGCGAGGCTGCCAGGCCCACCGACTCCAAGTCCGTGAAGGTGGTGAAGCTGTTCTGCGAGCAGTCACTGGCCTGGAGGAAGGAGACCTATGTCTGGTACCTGAATCGCCACATGTACTTTGAGCTCATGGGCATTCTGTGCCACCTGGGCCTCTACAGGGACAAGCACCAGGAAGAGCAGATGCAGCTGAAGAACCTCTGTGGGAAGGGGAAGCCAAGGAAAGGAGAAGGGAAGAGAGCTGCCAAGAAGAAATCGTGCTGCTCTCGCCCCCACACGCAGCCGCAGCCGCAGCCACAGCCACAGGCTGCGTGTGGCTTCCATGTGCCCCTGTAGGGCTGTGACTTGAACCTGCTGCTCATTTGGCGAAACCAGCTCCAGGTAGACCGGTGAAATTCAGTCATGCCTGGTGTCTGAATCACATTTGAATTCCGCAACATGATTAGGTCCTTGGGTTTGGAATCTGAGTTTGCCTGGATACGTAAGGAAGTGACCGGAATTTAAAAAAATAAATTATCAAGGGTTCACGGGGGTGGGGTGGGGTGGTGGCTGGGTTGACACCAAGGGCTCAGGTAGAAAGAAAATATTGTTTTGGAAATGATGATGGCAACCTATGTACAAATATGCTTGATACAATTGATGTATGGATTGTTATATAAGAGCTGCAAGAGCCCTCAATAAAGTAATTTATTAAAATTAATGAAAAAGAATTTTTGTAGTAAAGATAAATGACTATCCTTTATTTGAAAAAAAAAATCTTTATGCAGAAAAAACTAAATTGCGTATGTACTGTCATTTTAAAATTTTTTATTAAAAGATCATTTTATTGAGCCCTTGTTATCAGGTCTCCCCCCACCCACCCAAGACCCCCTGATCAATTATAAATCATTATTTTCATATCTCACACTGACTGCTGTGTCCCTTCCCCCATGGTTTCTGTTGCTCCTTCCCCTGGAGGGGGAGGGTGTGGTTATGTGTCTATCATTGCAATCGGTTTCCCCTTCTTCCCCTCCTCTCCCCACCTCCCCTTATCGTTCTGGTATCACTGTTCCCATTCCTGTTCCTTAATTCCATGTGTCATGAGCTCTTATCTCTTATCTGTAGCTGCGCAAGCTCAGGTCTAACCAGCAGTGAAAGGCAGTACTGGGGTCATGATAGTGGGGGGGGGGGCGTGAGGAAGCCTCAAGGAACCAGAGGAATAGTGTGTGTTTCATCAGTGCTTTACTGTGCCCTGGTTGGCTCATCCCGTCCCTGTGACCCCTCTGTGAGGGGATGTCCCATTGTCTACAGATGGGCTTTGGGTCTCTGCTGACTCCCTCATTCTTAAAAATGTTTTTTTGTTTTTGATTAGTTGCTTGTTTGTTATGGGTCTTCTGGTGCCTGTTACTCAGTCCAGATGACACCTCATGAGCGCACAGGCTGGTACGCTTCTTCCATGTGGACTATTTGCTTCTCAGCTAGATAGTCGCTTGTTTAATTTCAATCCTTTAAGATCCCAACACTATATCTTTTGATAGCCGGGCATCATCCACTTTCTTCACCACATTTGCTTATGCACCCATTCTGTATTCAGCAATTGTGCCGGGAGGGTGAGCATCACAGAATGCCAGTTTGTTAGAACAAAGTGTTCTTGCATTGAGGGAGGGTTTGAGCAGAGGCCCAAAGTCCAACCACTACTACCTCAGTGTATTACCATATACCATATATACTAATGTATAAGCTGAGTTTTTCAACACATTCTTTATGCAGTTTTTGTAGTAAAATTAGGTGCCTCAGCTGATATTCGGGTCGGCTTAAAATTGAGTATATACAGTAAGTATATGCACATAGGCCAATACCTCTATTTTTATGAATTAATGTATTTACATATGTATACACCTACACTTATACCTCCCATGTAGTGCAATTTTAATGAAAGGCAACTTAATTTCTAGATTCATTAATGCCCTTGGCTAAAAATATACTTTAACAAAAATGTTTAAGCATGTAATTATTTTTGAGAAAAACTTTTACTATATACATAATTATTACAATAAAATAAGATACTCTATTACTTAATATTGAATATATTTTAGGGGCTAGACATTTCAAATATATAATGAAAAATATACAATTAGAGAGAGGAACACTACACAGTTACCTAATAATTTGTCCTTCCTCTTCTGGAGTAGCTGGTCTTAACCCCAGAACGATATGACACACCTAGGGAAAATATAGTAATATAAAATTGTACTGACTGGTGGCAATGACTAGATTGCATCATAATTCAATTTTCTGCATGAGATCTAATGTATAAATAGGAACGCGTACTAGCAATAGCCTCCAACTGATGTATTATCAATAATTATTTTCAACAATTGATGAGTAAACTTTAACTTTAGTTTTTTATTTTTAAATAAATCACTATAATGGACCCTAATAACCAAATCTCTATCTGGGATAGTAAAAAAAAGAGTGATTATAAGAACATTCTAGTAATTGTGTGATGATTGCACAACTCATTAAAATATATTTAAACCACTGAATTATATGGAATATGAATTATATGTCCATAAAATGGTTAAAATTACTAAAAATAATAATAGAGGAAAAAAGAATATATTAGTATGTCTTTTGGTGCACATAGGCACAAGTTATATATGAAGTAGACTTCTTGTGTCAGAGCATATGAATACATATCAGCTTTCATAAATTTTACTGAACAAATTTCCAAAGAGGTTTCTACCAAGTTATATGAGCCTGTTAGCAATGTTTAAGAGTTCCACTGCTCAATATTCTCAACAATTCTTTGTATTATTTAATACATAATCATTTTGGTGGGTATCTAATAGCATTTTAAGTTGAATATCCCTGTTGACTAATGATGTTATCCCATTTTCAAAAATTGAGTAGCTATTTGTTGATATATTATTTTGTGAAATATCTGTTCAAGTCTTTTGAATACTTTTATATCGGGATTCCATCATGTTTTTAGTAACTTGGTATTTGCCCAGAAACAAGTCTTCTCATATATACTTTCTCCCACTCTGCGGTTTTCCCTTCTCTTAATGGCATCTCTTGATTAAAAAAAAAAGTTTTAATTTTATGAAGAAGTCCAACTAAACAATCTTTCTTTCCTAAGACAGTGTTCTGTGTGTCCTACTTCAGAACTCTCTGTAATCTCAATGACAGTAAGATATTTCCCTACAGTTTTTTAGAAGCTCCCCCGGTCAACCTTTCACACATTTAAATCTATAATGTACCTGGAATTAACCTTTGTGTATGTGTGAAGTAGGAATAATGATGGTTTTTTTCTTCCCCATGTGGATACCAATTCCCCCAGCACCATTCAGTGAAAACAACTGTATTGTTACTTTAATTATAAATCAAGTGATCATGTCTGCTTACTCTATTAAATGAGCATATAGTTTAAAAATCCAATCTCAAAATGATATAAAACAAAATTATATGATGGTAAACACTAGATCATGGGCATATGAGGATTCACTATAAGATTCCTTCCACTTTTCGTAATAAAATGTTGGAAACACACATAAGCCAAGCATCACATATGCCCGCCCATCTTAGAGTTATACAAAAGTAGTGTTTCTCCAACTCCCTAATAAGAATAAGAAAATGGGGAAGGCAAATGGAAAACCAGAGTGCTATTCAACGTGAGAGCTAAAAGATGAGTCAGAAATAAACTTCAGTGATCAAAATATAGATATAATTTAATATAAAGCAAAAATCAAACAAAAACAACAAAAGATCCTATGGAATCTATTTGTCCTTACATGAGATGGAATTAGATGCTCAATTTTCATTTACCATGCAAGTTGATTCAGTATATGGTGGTGATTCCTATTTTTATAAAGCTATCCACAAAAAAAAAAAAAA